CAATAGTTTTTGGATGATTTTGACAACATTTGGATGTGGTATTGAATTGGTTATAACATCAAAACCAACAGCGACAGTATCTTGGATCATGACTCGTCCAAAAGTTGTGCAGATTGTGCGAATCGATTTTCAAAACCATTTTCAAACATATATTGATTGATTATTGTAGCTGCCAACACTGATGAATTAGCAACAACCAACTTGGCAGTGACTTGGCGGTGACTTGTCAATGACTTGTCAGCAGTTTGGAGTGATTTTGATGATTTGGGTTATATGATTTGTAATATTTATCGAGTAAGCTTGTTTGGCCAGCTGTAGCAACCAATGATGATTTAGTCTTGGTTCAACGATCGATCAAAACCCAAACCTGAATGCCAAAAACTGAAAACTGAAAAATACGCTATACTCGATGGTTTGTTTGTCTGGTGAACACCAATGTGCAATGACTGCTCTTGAAATAGTGTCATGACAATGAGTCTTGTATTTTTGTCAAACTCCTGGTATATGAGATCATGCCACTTTTATTGCAGGCAAATAAATGACTAAAAACACGAAACAATTGCCAATTGACCTATCAATCATACCATTGAGTACCATGTAAATCCAACATGTCAAAGTAACCAATCATGCAATGATTTACTGAAACTACCGTGTTCATAAACGTATTGAGTAGGAATATTGCACTGACAGTCATCAGTCATTCAAGATTATGACAACCTGGCGCAAAGACTTGAAGTTGGTTTTCAAAACCTTGATCAAAACCTGTACTAATGATATCATACATTTGTTTGATCATGTCATTAATATACATATCGCTGACAAGTAGACAATCATGCAATGTTACATTCATCCACTATATAGTTGAACGAGTTTTGTCCATGATTGTTCATCGATGATCATCTCCGATCAACACTTGCTATTGGTCAAGATGTAATCGAAACTATCCGTTGAAAACCCTGCCATCACTTGATGATTTACATTGGGTATTAGTCTAGAACTGAACGTTGTCCATTATTCAAACATGCAAACCATCCACCATTGTACACATGATGTTTGGTCTGGGTTGCACATCTTGGATAAATAGTCTGACTAATTTAGTTGTGAATATCGGTTGAAAAACTGGTATTATTTGGTGTCCATATGTTGTTTATAGTATTGGGAATATTGGGAATATTGAATCAACATTGAATCTATTCAACATACCATGTCACACTGTACATTGGTGTTGATGCATGACCAAATGGTTGATAGTTTATGATGTATACACAACAAATAGTTGTTACAAACCATGATTTTCTACATCAAAAATATGAATCTTGCAAAATCGATATGAATTGTTGCTATTAAAACCATTTACTACGCTACCACTGTTATTTCCAAAGCTGTTGAGTTGATTGAAATCGTAACTAAACAAATCTACTGAGATATGTCCAACAAAACAATCATGTCAATCATGTCGAATGTGATTTATTGATCAGCTATCCGTGAGCCATGAACAATGAACGATGATAAATAGAATGAAACTTTGCGGCTTTGATTTGAACATTGACAATTATGCAAGTTGGTTTCAAGTTTACTGTGTGCATTGACACATGGCCACACATTGACAGATCAACAGATTACAGCTAGCGACAATCTGAATCAACTTTGGATGATATATATTTATATTTCAACAACCATTTTGACATGGTTTGAATCACTCGCACAAATCAAATACATGACCAATTGAACAATCAGTCAAATATTTGGTATACAGTGACAGTATATGCTGTAGTAATGGATTGTATATGTGATGATAACTATCCAGTAATCAGGGTGACAATTTGATACTATCTGATCACTGGATACATGACCGCAATCGAAGAGATCAACACATAATACTACTGAGGTTGATCATACACTATCAACGATGCTTGTATATTGATTCGACCTACGGTGTGTTTTTGGCTTTGTTGACCCTACATGATGTTTTCTGTGATCATTCATTTGAAAATTGCTGATTGCCGATTGTCACCCTTGAAGTTACCGTCATTATAAAACAGCAATCATGTACCAGATTCAACCCATTTTCATCACACTGCTCGATACAATGTTGATTACTCTAGAATGCGTTATACTTGCGTTGCAGGCGGTTGCTGCAGTTCGACTTGCATTAGAATCACCTTTTGGAATTGACAGTCAATCAAGCAATAGGCTATCGAAACGATCACCCGTTGAATTGGATGGTGATATCACAAAATGCTACACAATTAAAGTCAATGTTAATGGAGTTGATGTATGTATCATGACATGCATTGTAGTTTGATATCAATGCATGCCACGTTGAATCAATCACACTTGTTTAAAATAGTTGAATTTACAAGTCGATTCAGCAATGTCTGATATAGTCGTACCACTTCCTAGTTCAAGCAACGATATAGGTTTGACTCCGCAACACACTCCAAATGGGGAACCCGTTACTATATATTACAAAGGCGATGAGTATAATGGGTTTAGTTCCAATGCAGCTGTGACGATTCCAGGTACTAGGATAACTGACATCAATTTACCAGTAGTAGCAGTTGAAAAACTATCGGCAGATTCAGTTAAATCAGTCCCGAGTTTGATGGAATATTTGGACTTGGCTATAAATGGTTGTCAAATCATCATCCACCAATCACTGCGATGGATATTTGTACAAGT